GTGATACCCGCTTTGTTTCTTCCTTACACAATCAAAGTAGTTCACCCACTAGGGAATTCTCTTGCCCTTTTCCATTAGACGCGGGGACGATTGAAGAAGTCACAAGTCGCAAAGACCACAAATACGACCCCCTCTGTTTGGAAGTCTCAAATACGACTTCATGTTGATGAATTACCAGTAAAGATTCACCCTGCTGTAAACTACTTCACTCAGAAACGCTCCTGAACGTGGTGCATTGGAGCACCTTGTTGGCGTAACTCAGCGATAGTGAGACGTTCCATCACTATGGCAATGAACTTTTTTTATTAATGCATCTTAATGACATAGTACACATTTAAAAAAAAAGTGTTGTAAATAAGAACATGAACGAAATCGAATTCCGTAAGGTCACGAGTTTCTGCAAGCGAACGCAGCTGCTCTAACCGTAAGTCGCGCCTACCCTGGATATCTATAGGCCAAACCGGTATTTGTGATACCCATAGTAGCAAAAGGGCGGAAGTGGTGTAGTGGCAAGTGGCACGCTTACCACGCGAGCGGTCCGGGGATCAAATCCTGGGTCGTGAGTCGCCCGGGCCAACCAAGCCTTCCATCCCTCCGGGGTCGGTTAATTGGTACCAGACTTGTCTGGGAGGATAAAAACACTGACTTGTACATCGGCTGGCCCCCGCAAGTCATTGTATAGGCCACATCGCATTCAAACGCCACTACGAATGTACAAATGGAAGTAGAATGCGTGCCGCATAACTTCGTATTCCTTAACTATGAAGGAAATTATTGGTGAACTATTTTGTACCAGTGTATGTGATTTAAGGAACATGGTATGGTGAACCAGTGTACTTCACCCTAGGAGACAAATGGTGGGATCCCTCAGATCATGAGGTGACTTGTTTGCTGCTTCTAGACGTTTTTCCGATTCCTCTAAATGATTATTGCAGATCTTTGCTCACTCAGAAGGATAACGTGTTTTACAAAGAACACCTATGGCGACACCATTCCGAGTACTCGGCACCAAAGTTTTACGACAAATGGATCCCAGCTGCTCTCAGCAAATATATTTGGTAGATTCAATTTGTGTAGGTTGTTTGGACAAGGAATAAATAATAGCGTAGTATTAGTTAGCACAAAATTAGTAGTGAGATGAAAAATTCATATTAAAATGACTTTATTTTTCGATACTCGTAGAAATGTAGTAGTCACCGGTCCACCCTCACGTCGTGCTGTTTTTCATTGAAATGCTATATCCTCCTTCGCCATTTGGGACCATTTCAAAACTATCAGTCGAAAGACCGAAAGGTCGCAAGCAGACATTTCCTAAATTTGCGTCAATTTAAGTAGCGGAGAAAAAAAAACATAAACTTTCATAAACATACCCAATTCTTTCAGTTTTTCTATCATTTCAGTCTTCAGTTTTTCGTCTCGTTCTTTAATCTTTTGCCGCAGCTCTTCAATTTTTCTCAAGTACTGGGTTCGTTGAGGAAACCTCTCCTGGAATTTCGATGAAATAGAACAAGTGGCCGATGCGAAATTGCAATCACACTGTTGATTTACTTTTAAAACGTTCACTTCAGATACTTGAAGCTCACACCTGTGTTCGTTGAACACTAAGCTTATCAGTCAATCTATCGAAATTCCTTGCTATTTTTCTCAAATCATACACTTAAGAGCCAGTAAGCATTATAACTGATGAAACATCGCCGCTAACCGTGAGGGCATTTTTATGGCGGTCATCCTGATCGATATGTATCTAATCTGTGCGATCGCTACGATCTGACGATGGACTATGAAAGCGTGTTACTGAACAATGAACGGAAGTCCATTGGGGCTGAAATTGGTGTGAGTCGAGCAACTGCTTCACGACACATTCTTAGCGTAAAGTTTGGAGCCTTAACATGACGCACGACCACAACTAAAAACCGGAGAATACATCTGCACGGAGCGATTACATTACAAGCCTCATTACAAAATCGAGGATCAGCGCGTGATTTGCAATTCTGGGAGGGAATTGAAACGTGAGAATGCTCTGGAAGGTCATTTAAAAGGGTACCCTAAGACCTGTAGATGTTGCCGGAGAATATTCGAGCTGGCTTTGAGCAAAGTTTAAGGCTATAGTGCCACCATATTGTATAATAGTAAGATCTTTTGGTATTTTAACAATGAATGATGATTGGAATGTTTCCATTATTTGACCCAAACCTTGAGTAGCTCATAGTCTTCGAGAGCATTCTGGTATTTCTCAGAAACGTTTGAATATGCAAAGGCTCGCCGTTCCAGAGCTTTATCGTTCGTTGAGTTGGCCTGCAAAATGCGATTGTAAGTAGTGTGAAATATGAAGCATGTAGTAAGGTATAACATACGCAAACAGTAATTTTCATACTCAACCTCTATTGCTTTTGTGGCTGCTCCTGCCGCTTCCTCCCACAGAGCTTGTTTGATATACGCAGCCGAGAGATTGGAATGTAGAACTGAGAGAAGTGACACTTCCTCCGAAGGGCAAATTGCCAGTGGCTTCCTGAAATGGCATTAAACTATGCATTAGACCAGAATAGCGACGAGGTAGGCTTTACCTTGTATTTGTCTTCGGCTGCCTTGTATTCACCTTCGCCAAACTTCGCATTACCTTCTTGTTTCAACCTTTCAGCCGTTTTCGTGGGTTCGGAATCTTCCCATTCCTCCTCAATAACTACCATTCTGAAGAGAACAAAAACTCACTATCACATGCCAGAATTTCATACTTATGCATATCACTACAACACACACGAATACATAACCTGCTCTGGAATGGCTTCAGATAAATTCATTCGTATTACATGGACCGATACTGCGCAGATACTTTCATTAGCAAAATTTTTCCCAAGGCTAAATCAAGGCCAAAATACAGAAACCTTTCTAATGTGACCCGACACAAAATGTACTATCTGGCCCGCTCTTGAGGGAAAACATTGGCTGAATTTTCTCTCACACAGCTGAAACCACCCTATAGTGAGTGACTGCACAGGGTGAAAGATTTTTTTTTGCCCAACCAGTAGTTATGACTGCGTTCACAACTATTCAACGCGGTACTCTCATCAGAGTATAAAAACTGCCTTGAAAATGGATCAATGAGTTTCTTGTTTAAGTACTCACTGTAGAAAAAACATGATTAACATATTTTACACACCTACACATTTATGAGTTGTTTACATAGATATTTGTCTCTAAGCTGGCTCCTCAAAGAAAGCTCTTCTTCAGTGTTTTGACAATTCTACGTCAAGAGTGATTACTAGTGATTCCTCAACTATGACAGAAATATATAATGGATGCAACATCGAAATAGCTAATACGAAGTTCTCTTTATTTTATTCAATAATATAAACAAATATCTACAACAATAACAACATGCAACGATAAATCTGTCATTCTAGTGTTCAGACTCTAAGAACACTTAAGATCTATAGACTCGCAAGATCGTAAAAGAAAGTCCGCAGATGAGAAGAGCGCTGCGCTCTAGCGACATCCTTTACTCTCATTTGCAGAACTATTCTAGAATATGCCTACTCGAGACATTCATTGAAATAGGTCGCGATAGAGTTCGGAGTAGTTGCTGACAAATCGCACGTCCAGATCCTCTCTCATAAAATCTGGCAGGTCGTCGTAATCTCTCGATTCTCCTCGGGCAGGAATATCCTCTTGGCACCGACTCTTCGTGCCTAAAGAGCTGTAGAACAGTTTCGAGCTGCAGGAAAATTTGCAATTCCATTGGATCGATGGTGTGACAATGCTGAGGATCACGCTCTACACATTCTTCTGAACTTCGTTGAGAAAACATGTTTTTACAAATAAAATAGTGCTATCAAAGACAGCAAAATGATTCCTATGTGATGCATGCGCTAAGTATGCATTTTATTTTAGAATTAGTGATGAAAGTAGGCAAGCCTGGATCAAAATGCGTCGAAAGGAATACATAAATAGACCTTCAAGCCCAGTCACAGTGAAAAATTCGTGAGCTCACAGTTATCTTTGACCCTGTCAGTTTTCCCTTGTCGAACTAATTGGCGTTGAAAAGCAATGCGCATTATCGAATTGTGTCATCTTGACCGTTCATCAAGATGACGGAATCATTTACTTCCCTTTCGACGCATGTCATCCTTTTGCGATTTCTTTTCTATTCTCATGGTACAACGACCACAAGCACAACCACAAGCAAATAGAAACTGACCGCAATGACTTTCTCCTTTATACCACCAACAGGCAGAACTTTTCCTGTCAACGATATCTCCCCAGTCATAGCCATTTCCTGTACAACTGGTTTATTCAAAGCAAGAGACAGCAGAGAAGAAACCACGGTAACTCCAGCAGAGGGCCCATCTTTTGGTGTAGCTCCCTGAGAGAATAAATTAAAAATAAACCTATGGCGAAAAAAGCGGCAGATATTAGACACACCTCTGGCACGTGAATATGAATGTGAGCCTTGTCAAAGAATCTATTGTCCGGTTCATCTTTAGCAAGGATCCCTTTGGCGACCGTTAGGGCAGCCTTTACACTCTCCTAAAAACGGAACAATGCTGCCAGATACGAAAAAACATTGGAAGTAACAATATGTGCTCGTTGCCCTGTACAAACCTTCATCACATCACCAAGATTTCCGGTGACCTCCAAAGTACCTTCTTTATCACTTGAATAATCTACAGGTCGTTTCAGTACTGTTTCTATATACAAGGCAGAGCCACCCATAGCTGTCCAAGCTAGACCCATGATAACCTAAATGAATCATTTTCTCAGTGAGAAATATGATCATATTTAGTAACAAAATGAAAATCCCAATAAGTTAGAGACTTACGCCGGGTGGAGTTTGATCATACATCCTATCGGAAGTGAATTTCGGCCTTCCCACGTATTTTTCCAAATTCTCGCTATTTACAACAATCGTGGGCTGAGGCGATTCAGTGCCAGCAGGTGTCTCGGAATCAACAGGCGATGCAGAACAACAGAAGTCTCAGAATCAACCGGAGCTTCAGAACCTGCACTCATACGATCGGCTATTTGCAGTGCGGTTGCGGAAATACCTTTAAATGAACTCATATTCCAGGAATTTTACGGAAAAGGGAAAAAGATAATCGTCACCGTTTGGCAATGTGCTCTTGTAAATTGCGGACTCCGACTCGCGACAGTAATGCTTGATAATGTCTTCGACAGCACTATCTTCTATCACGAACTGATCCTCCGTGAGGGACCTTGAAAAATAAGCATTTCATTTTTTAGACGATGGAAGCATTGAGAAGTGAAGTATTAAAATTCAAATTAATATCTGACCGCGAATAGTCAAATGTTTGAATGTAATAAGTGACACATTTTTGGAAATGCCCCGAATTCGAAGAGAGTCAGATACAAAACTCCGTTTTGCCTTCGGCTTGGGGAATCAATATCGTTTGACGCAAATAACGATTTTTCTCGCTAGATAACCACTCACATCTATCAATTCCATACGATCCTTCAGTGGGCCAGGAATTGAATCAGTCACATTTGCCGTGCAAATAAAAAGCACACTGAAAAGGATAGGGCCAAATAAAAAGAGCTTTTCTTAGGGGAGTAAAGTTATTATTTTGTAAGGAAGATAGCGATTCTAATTAGTGTATGCGGGAGCACGGCGAATTTTTCATGCTTTTTTCCACCAACTCATTGAAGCAGTGAAAGCCAAAAGGCATAGTACTTCGTGTGATTTCACTTTGTTCGCTTTTACAATTTACTCCTTCACTAATGCCTTGAAAGCTATAAGGGGAGGCAAAGTTAGGTTAAATTATTAAAGCGGAAATCCAATAATTCTACTTACGTCCGAGTTATATCAAAGAATGAAAGGGAGTTACAATAAGAAAAGGTTACGAGATTAATCCAGCAGGGAATCGAGAAAATGATCATTGAAATTGGCGTTTTGTTAGGGTCCAATAACTCGAGAAGAGCACTTGCTGGATCTCCATGATAACCAGCACTACCAATCTTGTCTACCTCATCAATCAACACCAACGGATTTTCGGTTCGAACCTAGACTAAGCCGAATGTTAGTACAGCCGATTGTAAAGCAACAAATTGTTAGAGCAAAGCTTCATTCTTCAGAACTGTTATCATGTTTTAGGCATAGTCAAATATGTATCTGTGCCCTTTTATTATCAGCACGTCGGTAATTACCATGAGAAAGCGGAAACTAAAAAAAGATTTTTTTTTTAGAGAAAGCTCGATCATTTCGGAATGAACGTCTTCATCCCATGCACATACCTGTCTATTGAGTGCTTCAGCTATGGACCTTGCAATGCTTGTTTTTCCCGTCCCCGGCGGCCCATGCAATTGATTTTACCCCAAACGTGTTCTGCTAACTCTAACTGAGCGAAATTCATGGCAATGAAAAAGAGACGCTCACTTTAGCATGTTCACTGCAATGAATTCGAGAATGCGCTCCTTCACGTCTTTCATTCCATAGTGACCCTTATCCAATGCAATCCTCGCTTTCTGCAGATCGCTATTTTCTTCTGAGGTGATTCCCCATGGAATGTTTGTCAACCAGTCGAAGGTAGTTCCGTTAACATGAGTTATACCATACAGGACTGTACTGATTGGTTGTCTTCCAGTACTATGACGAAATGATTCATAACGACGAGGTTCTTTGAAAACACCTAGTGACGCTGGGAATTCGTAGGATATGGACGTCAGAATGCAGTTTTGTTGCTCCGCTTTGATTACTGATATTTAGCTCGATATTCTCTAGTAGAAAAATTCCATACAATTTGTTACAGCAAATTGTACTTATTGCGTTAATCCGGTACAGTTAGATCTTTTAAAGCGCTCTCCATCTTTCTATCGTGGACTTGTCGTCCTCTGTATCGTAGCTCGCTTTTTTAATACATTTGAGCTTTGAACATATATTCATATAATTGCCCACCTCATTAAATGTAGAATTAGCAAAGAACAACTCAACACCTTCAGATGAATTCATTAAAAATATTGCCGTACTTAGAGTTAGAAGGAATAAGTAACTGTTCATTGAGCAGGTATTTCCGTGTGCCTGATTTGGACTTTTTTCAAATTTATTGATGTCGAAATTTCATTTCGCAACATGTTTTTTCTTGCTGAATTGAGGGACCAATGAAGTGTCAAGATTTAGATTACATGAGTAGGTGCGTATATTTTTGGACTGTCTATAGAACGAAAGCGCCCCCCCGCCCCCCCCCCCCCCGCCCCTCCTATGCTTAATCCTACTTTGATTTTTCCTCCATCATTTCTTGAAGCTCTTTAGTGTCAGCCTGACTGTACAAGAGTAGCAACCAAATCGCATAAATACACAGGATTTTCAATCACGTTTTGAGAAGGATGTAGAAGGAGGTTTATCTGCTGCCCGAATAACGCACTGTATTGGACAAGTTGTCGTCTGAAAATATGGGGATTTTAGCGTCCTGTCTCCATGAAATTAAATAGTTGATTGAATCAATCGACTTTTCCTTTTGGGAGGATGGTATCTGAAATGATGAATGAATAGCATATACTAAACAGTGTGTTTAACGCCAATGTAGTCGGATTCATGGAATAGGGCAATGGTGAGCATAGCTATCGAAGATAAATTTAGCAGAATACTGGCGGGGGTTTTGTAGGGGAACACCTAAATATCGCTGCTATAACACATAGTCCATGGATAAAACAAACCGAATAGTTTGCACCACAGCCTGCATCTTCGCTTTTGTTTCATTGTTTCTTTCAGCAGGCTCTGCGATAACATTTTCTGTTCGAGCTAACAAGATTGATGTTCGATCAGCTGGGTTAGGCAATGGCTTAGGAGGTGGCGATGATCCCTAAACCAGCGGAGCAATTCTGCAACGGGGCAAAACATGAGAACTTTTGCAAAAAAGCACCTTTTTTCTATATCCTACTCTTCGGCCATTGAGAGCTTTGTGCGGTTCTTCAGCAGCTCCTTCTTCAACAGGTTCCAATATGCGTATTCTACAAAATAAGGCATGAACGAGGTCTTGAATGTCTAATGAATTTCAATTACCTTCTATGAGCACTCAAAACCAATTCCAGAACTTTGCCGTGGTCACGCATTTCTATGATCTGAAAAATGAACATATTCAGTGCCGGTTTTGCTCTGCCAAAGCAACAAAAGGGACTATAGGATTTCTTTTCTCATCAAGAGAATCCTATTGCACATACCTGAGCAAAACATCCAACATTGTAGAGCTGTGATAACGAAGACACTATTTCTTCCTTATTTCTTAAAATATCAATTATATAAAAGCAACACGCAAAACAGATAGTAGTACGAGGAAGAACAAACTAACTCGTCGTCCTGTTTAACGAAAACTCCAACATATGGTTGCTTAAGAGCAACTCTGTTTCGAATAACCTGTTTGAGTGCATCATCCTTCACTATCTGAAAAAAGTGGCACTTCGAAGTAAGTACGGACCTTAGTTATGCACACAAGGTGAAGGCCTATTCATTTTGCGAAATACATCTGGCGAGAAGCACTCCCACTTCGACCCGATTGCTCATTCTTTCATTTTCAAACAATCCGCTACTATTTCCGGCTGCTAAAAATTCGATATCTGAGGGTCGTACTTTGCAGTTCGATCATGGAGAAGATATGTATCGAAGGTGCGATCCATGATTGATCCGCATCTATTCCACACAAACTGCTAATCGAACTGCAGGTATGACCCGACCCTGAAGCGCCACAACAGAGGTCTTCTGATGCTGACAGACGACTAATCATCACAAAGTTGAAGCTTTTAAATGAAGAGCAGAAAAGGAGCGTTATCACGACCCTACCCCAGACGGAACTGCTATAAGATAAGGAGAACATACCATGGATTGGGGAAATGTTGCCTGAGAATGACAATATTTTAGCATTTCAGAAAGAAAAAAGCAAAAATTCGGCACTATTGCACTATTACAACCCCAGTGGGGGTGAGATGGGTCAAAAAAATAATTTTCGCTGAAACTTCTGCTATGGGGGTTATCGAGGGTCCTGATCACGAATATGACCTTCCATTTTTGGCGCTGGCGCCAAATTGGCGCCATTTGGCGCCAACTGGCGCCACAT